GCATGGAGAAGTTGATGTTCTGGGAGTTGTGCACATTCGCAAAGGATCATGCATGAAGCTCCGCATTCGCACACAATTCGTCACATGGCTGCGAGCTTTTCAACAAATTGCTGCCTTTGTTTTGCACTTTTTCACGCCTTTTCAGATGGTACTGGACCGTTTTATTTGTACTTTAGAAAGGGGATTTTCTACCTGGGGTCTGTAGTACAGATGCAATGGGGTCACAGAAACACATTTGTAAATTGATGAAATATAGATATCTGCAAAAAAAATTAAAAACTCAATGGGGGCTGCCCCCCAACCAGACCAAATAAAATTATTCAATTCCCCCCCTCCCTTACTTCTTAATATGATAGTGCCTTAGCAGCAGGGCTCCCCAGCTATGGGCCGTCTTCATTTGGGGGTCCCAGGTTTAAGCGAGAGTTAAAAACTCTGCTTCAGACCATGGATTGTTCAGAAAACAGACGACCTTCTCCAGAAGGTTTTTAATTTGGGAAGATGTGCAGTGCTGGAGGGTGGATTGGGATCAAAGCCCAGCTCAACCCTGCAGACTTTTCATATCATAATGTGGCATCACCGAGCGAAATAGTCACGTTTTAAATTGGGTTCATCCCTTCTGATGCAGAACGTTATGGCCAGATTCTCTACTGGAGGTCCTGAATCAGGGCCCCTCCTTGAACTTGAACCTGCAACCTCTTGCAGTAACTTGTTTTGTAGAAGTATGAAGCTGTATGTCACAGGTTTCCTGGTTGACTATGAGGACATTCTCAATAAAATTAAATGACACAGTCAATCTTTGCTCATTTCTGTAAAGAACTGACTGAATTTGTTACAAAACACAAGTATTCTTATTACATTAAAAATACGTGATTCGTTATAGCCATATTTCATAATATATATCAAACGTTAACTTCTGTGCAACAAGTTAACATTTGAGAAATGAAAATTATTACAACATGTACTTCATAGTTATTAGTCTTAGTCTGTTAATTATTAACTCTACAAATCTTTGAATTTCACTTGCAAAGCAACTCCAGCGACTGATTGGTGGATTAGCCAGGGTGTAACCTAGGTGACGGCTATAGTCCTGCCCAATTAGCACCCTTGGTATGTACTGCCAGAGCACTACTTCAACATGACAGGTCATTGTACTCAACCTCACAATTCTTTGGCTGCCTTCTGTCACTTTGATGGGCCATATCAACCAATCAGCTGTGATCTAATATAGTACTTCTTCCTAATCATGTTGTTGGAGGGCATTTGTGGTGCATTTTTCAGAGTGAAAAGTGAAACAGGAAGAGTGCAGCTAGAATATAGTCTGTAAGGACTTGAAAAATAAACTTTTTTAACTACCTTGGTTTCATTGCTAAATGTTTAGTCTGCTGTCCTGTTGGGCTGCTGGAGATCAGGAGCACACCCAAAGACCCCAGCGCGTTGACCCCCGCCTCGACCTCTTCTTCTGTCACCAAGCCTTTGTTCTCTTGTTCATTCTCTCTCTCTTTGTGAGCCTCTTTGTCCTCCTGTCGCTTCTAAGATGGCTTGGAATTAGGATCAATTACAGACTCATTTGTCCCACACTGGTGCGGTCAGGCACAAACAGACACTCACACACATGCAGCGTCGCTCCACCTGCTCCCCCACCCTGCCGTGTGACACAATGCCGATACGCAGACGGTCCCGTGCTGCTACACTCGTCTGAACTTCTCTTAATCCCTTGTTCCCTTAGTAAGTTAAGTGTTCACTTATAGGGCCTCCCAATTAGCTGCACTTCACACAGAAGAACTTCAGGGCAAGAACAGTGGGCTACTGTCTAACTACAGAGGTAGTTGAAGTTTTTTTAAAACTTCGAAATTATGAAGCAGGCAAGAGCGAAAAGTAAGAACGGACAGACAGGAGTGACGGGAGGGCGGGAGACCGTCAGGACTGGATATAGCGCTCCCTCTGCTGTTTGATATGTGAATTGCAGCACTTTCTGGAAGCGCATTTTAATGAGCGGTATTTGATTTCCCGTGCAAGTGGACTTTCCATTTCCTCCTGCAGCAGAATTGTATTTTTGCCATATAAGTAACGAGGAGTAAAACGATCAGCATAAATAAACTACAGTCACACAAACTGTAGAAATTTCACACCTCTGGATTTTTAAAATGATTTCCAGATTTCACCATGGGTTCCTAACATTTTGTCTTTTTTCTGCCTTAGTATTCCTGAACTGCTGCTTGTGGTTTTAGTATTATATTACTATTGCTTATGGGTGACAACTTCTGCTTCCAGTAGAGCCAGTGTCTGTGGAGAGGCATAAGGCACAGGCTGGTCAGGCTGGACACTGCCGGACCGGAGGTGGGGGGGGGGCTGCATTCCCTCCCTCTCCACATAGCCCCCGGGCAGTAAAGAAACTCTCCCTGCTGCGTTCGAGCAGAACGTCCCAGGTGCCTTTTGGGCAGAGTGCGTGGCCGGCGGCCCTCTGGTGAACTCTGTCCTTCTCAGTACCTTCCTGTTCCTTAGGACTTAAAAGAGAAGCTCTGTGTGTGTGTGTGTGTGTGTGTGTGTGTGTGTGTGTTTTGACCTCCCGCCCTTGGCCTATTGTGTCCAGTTCTGCTGAGTCGCTGTGAACCATCCCGACACTGCGACCGGCAGACGGGTGCGGGCCCAATTGTTTGGTCGCGTTCCTCTGGTTTCTACGGTTACCTTCTCCTGGAAGAGTTCATGCCAGTCGTCCTGCGAGATCTCCGGGATCCATCCTCCGTGTCGGGGAGTCCTATTACTGTGCCACAGACACTCTCCTATCTCGTGCCGTGTCCCTATCACCTCCTGGTGCTCCGACATCCGTCCCACCCTTCCCCCCCGTTACCCCCTGCCTCTCTCCCACACTTCCTCTCTTCTTCCCATGATCCATTTATCCCCTTGCTCTGGGATTTTCCATGTCCTCTGTTGCATATAAGCAGACGCATGCATGCACGCACACACAGACATACACACAGAGACCTGTACTCATATCTTTGTGGGGACCATCCATTCATTTCTTTGGCCAAAATCCTACTTCCAACAATGGCGACCTTAAACTCACCCAGCCCTAAGAATAAACATGTGACCAAACAAAAACAAGTCTTTTGGCATTTTTATTTTTTTTTGTAGTTTTTTTTCAGCCACACATCATTACAAAATTGAATTTCCTCTTGCAGGGACCGTTAAAGTAACTGGTTTTTATGGAACATTTGGTCCCCACAATGCAATGTTACCTGGACCACACACACACACACACACACACAGAGGTGAGACAGGATGACCCAGCTGGACCTGTTCTTGCGCATAAACAAAAGGGCAAAAACAATCTGGAGGGAAACATAGCAAATGTTGCATAGAGCAGAGCTCATGGAAACCCCCTGCATTCAAGGCCAAGAAACCCCTCTCCCTGCAGGCTCTGCCCTGATTACTGCCATGACCCGCCAAACAATAGGGGTCAGCTGATTCCGAGCGATGGCCCGTGAACCTGGGGAAGAGGCCACTTTCATTCCCTGCTGCCAATTTCCTGCGTCGTTACATCACACGCGGCCCTTGGGCCTGACCTCTGCAATAAAAACAATAATTGAAGGAACACACAGCAACCAGGGGGCCAACCCCCACCGTCTGTCACTCCCTAGTCGTACCTATACCTCCCTCCTGCTGGGGTGCCACTGCCTGAAACGGCACTCCTGTAAATCCCAAAATCCAGCTCCGAGCTCCTGACGGGACTTGTTTAAATAGTGATTCTTTTGATAACTTGAGATTTTGGTAGGCAGGAGGTGGAAGGATCACCATGGAGAACCAGGTGGTTCTTCTGAACGAAAAAAAAAAAATCTGAGGTCATAAACGGGGTCAAATACATTAAAGGTAAAAGGATATCGCTGCACCCTAATGGGTCCTTTTTGTGTTTTTATAAGAACTAGACTTGAATTGCACATGGAAAAAAAGCATATTTAAGAGAGAGTTTGTCATTTAATATTAAAATAGGAATGGAGCCAAGGGAAGGGGGCGATGAAATAACAGTCTATCCGAAACAAAACTTTCACCCAGCAAATCATACCGCGCTTAAGGTCACGGATAAACATAAAGGTTGCCAGGCTGCGCAAGTAAGATCCGCGCCACATCGGGAATATCGGCCTGCCCAAAGGAGGCGTTCGCATGACGAGCCGCATGGAATAAGGAATCGGCAAAAAGAATATTAAAAACAATTCAGTGATGAGACAAAAGGATAATCACGCCCACTGATGTCGTTGAAGCCACGGGGCTTCCATCACTACGAAGGAAATATCACGCGTGAACTTGGGAAATCACCCTGCCTTAGTAGTGCGAATTAAGTAAAAGTCTGCCGCCATGAAAAACTTAGGAGAAAAATTAATAGGCAGAAAAACAAATAATACATAATGGTCGTCCTTATTTTATCATTATTTTCACACATCGGAGACAATATCGATCCAAATAGGCCTACGCATTATATGAGTAAATCTCGTATGCATAATAGTAGGTGTATCGTAGTGTTTTGAATTTGTAAAGCTGAATGCTCATTACAACTAATTATTGCGTGCATGATCTGACTGGAAAGTGCTGCGAATTGCCTGGTGAAAACGATGCATTTGTAAGCGGACTTGGAAACCGCAGTTAATAACAAAAATTTTAAGTGGAGACGAGGGGAAGACTTTCCTTTATAAAAGTTGAATAATAACTTGCTTGCATGTCCTGGGGCGACGCTAAGCACATGCAACTTCTGGCAAAGACAAACCAGGGCTTTACCAAGAACAGACGTTGCGCGATGATATTGCGTGACTTCGCTGGAGTTTAGCGCCGTAAGTGATTGCAGCGTATTTGTGTTGTTAGTGTATATATGTTAGTAACTTGGTGAGCAGGACGTCGTGAAAACCTCCTTATGCGCATGCATATGTATGGAAGAGTGTAGAGTAATTAAAATGAACTGCATAGCAATTTGTGAGATTACGCCTCACAAACAGACATCACAGAAGGGGAAATCGTGGCATGGCAATACTTTATTTACAAGCAGCATTCGTTGGGGAAAAAAACGTGAGAGTGACAGCACATACTGTCGGAAGGGTCTGTTTCTTGTTTGCCGGTTGGATATTGGAGCATGACCGGGGGGAATCCCAGGATAACGCGGCCTGGCCATATAGCGCGATCAGTCCGCTGGGATGAGCGGGGGACTCTTATTAAATTCACTCACTGCATCCCAGAAATGACAGCATGTTTATTAGGTTTTTCATATGTCACCGTCACTGTCGACCCTCTTCTGTTTAAGAATGAAAAAAAAAGTTTCACAGATCACAGGAAACCAAATAAATGAAACATCGTAATGGTATTCGGTAACAGAGAACCAAAAATGGGCAGCATGCCATTCACTTTGAAAGCTGACACGTGACAAAAAGGAAGATAATATTCAGTAAGTATTTATTATAATTTTTAAACAACTTAGACGTCTACGAAAAAGTCAATAAACAAATCGGTAGTATTGGGGAAAATAACTAAACAAAGAAAAAATTAACTATGCGTCATAAATATTCATATAGTAGCAGTAAAATATATAGATATTTGCCGGCTGTACAAACCAAACGAAAAGCCACGTAAAAGCGGATTCTCGTTCGGAAAAACCACGAATCACCGGTATAATCAGTGCTATGAAACCAAGCCGTGCGACCACGTTTAGTATATTAAATATACCATCGGTTTTTAAAACGGTAGGCCTATTTACATTTAATGCATGTTGGTTATATTTCAGTTCTGATACAATCATTATGTCCAACTACTATCTACAATACAACACTATTTCTCATTTTTGACTGAATATTTCCAAGATTCTCCTATGCACGGATTATAAACCAGATTATAATACATTTATTGATTGTAAAACTAAGCTGAATTCACACCACGGGGAAATTCTAAATTGGTAATTAGTAAACTAGCGGAAATGCCGGGGCTACGTTTTTTTAAATTACCATTCCAGTTTATATTTTAGTAACGTTACAACTCTGTCATGATTTAAAAAAAAGGTAAACAACTGAATATGCCATTTTAGACCAAATCTCTGTCATTTTCAGTACAATTAAAAAAACACCCTAGAGAATTAGCATCGAATCTCTGAAATACCATAATTTAATTACTGGTTATTTTTAAGTACTGTTATAGGCTATATTCACAAAAAATCACAAAAACAAACTGGAAAAGAACAAATTAACTCCTTTTTAAACTCTAGGTGTTAAATGTAAGCTGGCGAAAGTATTAAAATGGAAGGAGCATCTAATCCATTAAAAGCAGATTCTCTAAAAACAATTCTTCACTACGGCACTGTTATAGTGAAACTGTGATATAATTTTCCATTTTGTAAGTATTTGACGGCAGCCACACCGTTAACGCGTTTTCGCGAGTCGCCCAAAAGGGCGTTATCTCTCCGCCTTAGGCGGACGGGAATCGCTAGGTGTCTCCAGTCCACCTCAAGAACTGGCATCTCACGCGCTTATCGGCTGATAAAACGGATGAAAAATGGGTCTCGAAATAAGTTTGGCTCTGGTTGGTCCATAAATCCTGCTGGATCTTGAGTGCTCCGAATAATAATTCCGCTGGAGTTTCATCAGCCTCGATTACACGCATTCCGGGTCTTTACGGCACGGCAGTGATTGTGATTTGGCTCTTAGCTCAGGGGCATTCGGGGACTGCAGACCACCCTTAAAATTTAGCTAGTGCGCAATTAAAACGCACTAGACTGTACAGAAGAACCGTTAAAAATAGAAAGGCAAAGTAAGGAACAATGGAAATTATGCAATTTGCTCCAAGTTTGGTAAAACATTTAAAAATATTTTAAGTCATTAGATTAGATTTTGAAATTAAGGAATACAATTGTTGTTCTAACATTTTATACAACATTCCTGAATGCTGATTAGCATTTCTGAGGACTAATGACCAAATTCAACACGTTGAGTTACTCCAGTTGTGGAGTGTTTGTAGTCACCATTACAGATGGTAAGCAGAAACTAGGACAGACTCGGCACAGCCCTGGTGGAGAGTGGGTGTGGGCGGTGAAACCCGTCCTGACGGGTGTGTGTGTGTGTGTGGGGGGGGGGGGGCCCTGACAGCAGTGGTGATTTGCAGAGTGTCACTATATCGTTTTATATACTCTGTGGAAAATGATCGATTGATCTGCTGGCCGGATTTAATAAAGAATGAATCACATGTCTCGGACCATATAATACCATCTCGGGGCTCGGTTCCGCTCTGTGGGCCAGTACTTTGAGAGCCCGGATGTAGACTGTATGTATGTGTGTGTGAGTGAATGCGTACGTATGTCAGATCAGTAATTGCTAAGGCCCCGATGTATAGTTGTACGCTATCCTAAGTAGTAAGGCCTCTATGAATGTGTGTGATAAAATATTAAGGCCTCTGCACGTGTGTGTGTGTGTGTGTGTGTGTGGGTGTGTTACTAAGTAGTAAGGCCTCTCTTCTGCATTCTCTCCAACTCCTTGCTCTGCTTCAGCTCCTTGATCCTACAGACACACACACACACACACAGACAAACATCTTTAGTGAACGCGACTGCGGACGCCGTGACGGCCAGGCGGGAGAGGAGGGCGATATGGAAATGGGCCAGGAGGGGGCGGGTCAGAATACGTGGGAGTGAAATTTTCAGGAACCGGGAGGGACGTTACCGGTGGCGACAGCGTCGGAGGAATCTCATGATCTTGCGAGCTGCCTGATCCTGCTTCTTGGTCAGGAATGATCCCCTGGGAGGGGGGGGGGGGGGGGGGGGGGGGGGGGGGGAGGGATGGGCAGAGAGAAGGCAGGATCAGAGGCTGAAACAGCACTGGTACCAGGTCTTGTCTGTACTCAAAGTATGTTCTGGATTTGTGCTCTGGAACATTCATTTTATTACTCTGCATCTTTTCGTCGTGCAGAAGCGCCTGCTTTTGCCATCCTTCCAGACGGCGCAGCTCAGCAAAGCGACTGGAACTTTTCAGTTTTATTACCCACTTTAAAACATTTATTATAAAAGTAAGCAAAAAATAATCAAATGTAGTAAGTTATTACTATGATGAAGTACCCAAAGTAGTTAACCTTCCCAGCAGTGCATACACTGTACAGCTGTGCAGTGAAATGCCTTTCCCCCTGCTTCCTGCAATGTGTAATACAACACTGATATAAAAAGATAAGAATAAATAAGATAATAATAAAAAATAATGAAATATTAATAACAAAATATTTAAAATAAAGTGTGAATGTACAGTGATAGTATGGGATGGTGTACAGTGTGTGAAGTGGCGTATGCACTGGAGACGTCGTCCAGTTTACGGACGGCCTGTGAGTAGAAGGCGCCCCCCTCTCCCGGACCCTCACTTGATCTTGGGGTTGAGGGCGCTCGGTCCTCGGGATCCCTGCTTGAGCCGCTCGTAGCCCTTGTAGCTGCGGTAGCACTGCTGGATGAGCACGGCCGCCCGCCGCGACTGCTGGAACTTCTTCTGCTCGTAGTAGCTGCGGAACTTGCTCTGGATCAAGATGGCCGCCTGCGTCATCTTCTTGTACAGGGCGTACTGGGTCCGACCGGGTAGGAGGGAAACCGATTACCGGGTTGCTAAAGCGCAGCACGCTCCCGGGCGACATGGCGACGCTCACAGTAATCAGTACCAGTGTTAGTAGCTGCGGAGTAGTACTTCCCGCCATGCATCCAGAAGGACAGGAAGTGGCACTTGGAAGGTTTGGCAAAGGGCAAACTGGAAGCACTGCGTGATGGTGCTGGAAAATCCTGCTGGTGTCACTGGTGTATATGCGTGTGCATCTTGGGGATTTAGCGAGAATCTAGTTATGGTCATAGTGCTGCATGAAAGCCTTCAGACAACAGCAATCAGAGTTATATTCCTTTCAGAAATGCTGACTGTGAATGCTGCTTAGATCACTGTAAGATGTCCTGCTTCTATGGGGCTGTAGCAACATGACTCATTTTATGACTGTAAGTAATTGCGTTTCCGTTGGGTGGTTGTGACTTTGCCTGTGTGTGTGTGTATGTGTGTGTGTGTGTCCTGCGTGCATAAATGCGTAGGTCAGTATTGTGAGGCTTTTTTCATGCCAGGTGTCCCATAAGCCTCCCACGCCCAATGTGACAGACAGCTGGGAGGGGGTATTACGAGGTTAGACGTTACCTTCAGCGCTATCCATGTTAGCTAGCCGGAGCAGGGAGGGAGGGATGGAGGGATGGAGGGAGGGAGAGACACATACATGGATAATTAGCGTTGGGTTAACTGCAGAGAGTCATGGGCAAGAAAAGGAAAAATTAAAACCACACACCAGGCACACAGACGCTCTCCATAGACCGTGCAACACAACACAAGAAATATATAACTAAGTGTGACAGGACAAGAGTGCTGGTCCGCGATATATGAAAATGCAATGTGTCCTCACAGTCATGGCCGTCAGACGGCATGGAAACCCTGGCAGATTCAGGGGTCTGGCACTTTATAGGAGCCCCTAACCCTACCGTGGAGGGCAAATTTTACATACATGGGACTTGTATTTCATCAGACTGAAAGTGCCAAAACAAGTGGAAGGGATCCAAGGTGAAATTTTGTCACAGGTCACGTGACCTGGCAGTATCATGTGAATGGGTTGGCTAATCAGGCAGTGTCGTTTGACAGGGTCATGTGACCTGACAGTGTCACATGACTGGATCGTGATAGCAGGCAGTGTCATATAGCTGGGTCATGTGACCTGGCAGTGTTACGTAACAGGGGTCATGCGAACACAGGATCACTCAGGCTGCGTACCTGCTTGTACTTCCGGTAACATCTCTGGATGACGGCCGCAGCCCTGTCCTGCTGCTCCTTCAAACGCCGGCCCTGAGGGGAGGAGGAAGAGGGAAGAGAGGAAGTTTATTAATCTCTGTCGGACGCATCTCTGCGACTGTTCGGCCATCAGCAGGGCTGGGCAAACGAAGCGTGGGGGGCACCTTGTATCTGTGGAAGGCGGTCTGGATGACGCGCGCCGCCTCGTACAGCTCCCTCTGCTCGCCGTCGCTCAGCGTCAGCAGCGCGAACTCCTGCTCCACATGGCCGCTGCTTGAGGCGTTCAGGAACTCCGCCCAGGTGGCACTGCCGGGGGGGCGCAGGTGCTGGAGGGCCAGGGAGCCCAGGGGCGACGGGGGCTGTGGGGGCCGCGAGACAGGGGCCTTGCAGCACGCACACCTAGGTGGGGGGAAAGCGTCACCCTGGTTACGGCATTGGGAGCTACAACCCATCAGTCTCCATACATCAAGGAAATCCCAAAAGATCAAGAGTCAAGATTTGTATTTGTCACGTGCATGAATGTCGTGGTACAGCATTAGTGAAAGGAAATCACTGCTACTCCAGACTGTAAACAAGGTAGGAGGATAAACAAATTAGGTAACACTTTACTTGACAAGGCACAAATACTTAGTAATAAATCAGTTACTACTGAAGTACAAATCATGAACAAATCATGAACATACATAGTCACTATTTGAGACGAAACATGCATCACGATTCATCAATGATGAACAATCATGAGATCAGTATTTCACTTGTGTTGTTCATCACTTGTTCCTTCAGTAGTTCACAATGGTTTACAGTATTAACAGATATAGTAACATATATAGTAACTGCTTGAGATAAAACATGCATCACGATTCATTAATGATGAATCTACATGAGATCATTATGAAACAGACTTAGATTGTGGTTAATTAATATATAAGCAATAGCATAATACTATAATATTTGTGTCCCGTCAAATAAAGTGTTACCCCAAATGAAGTAACGTAAGTCAACAAAATAAGTACAATAAAGATAGAAATATAAAAAGTAAAGATGATTGTAAGACTATAAGAGAATAAGCTGCAGGTTGCAGTTATAGCCTTTGTTTGTTTCTAATTGCTGGTGCTAATTGTGCCAGTGTCCAGGGGGCAGAAGCTTCTCCTCAGGCTCTCAGTCCCGGCCGGAAGGTTCCGGCCCGAGTGCAGTCGCTAGAGCAGTTTATGGCATGGGTGCTGAGCGTCTGATAATACTCGACGCCCTGGACCTACAAAAGGTCAACTTATGACTGAAATAACTGCACTGCGAAGAGACCCCCCTCAGCAGGAAAATCCAGACCACCAGGGAAACACCGACATGGAGCCCAAGGGAGGTGGGTACTGAGGCTCTTTCCCTGCGTACCGAGGAGGGACTGGCATGTTGTCCACTGTGTCCAGGTAGGTGGCCAGCCAGGGCAGGGTGTCATGGATGGCGGGGTTGTCCCTCCTTTCCCTCAGCGGAGACTCCGCCCCCCAAGGAACCTCTTCCTGCTTGATTCGCTCAGGCGTGGCCTCGATTATCTGCTCCGCCAGCATCGCCATGTCAACCTGTGGGAGGGCGGTAACTCATTAATGTCTCACTGCATTTGCCAGACGGGTGTTTGTGAGGTCACTGTGACGGCCAGTGTGTGACTCACCTGCAGGTCCTCCACGTATTCCTCATTCTCTGTGTTCTCGCTGTAGCTGAGCAGCTCCGCCTCAAAGCGAGAGTGTCGGCTGTTCTGGGGGCTTGCCGGTGGGGAGGGGCTGCGGGCCAGCTCGTACTCCATTGGGGGGGCACTCTCTTTAGCCCGACTGGCTTCGTAAGCGTCCCCCCACATGGGCAGGGCTAGGGGTGTGGCAGGGGACGAGGGGGTGGGCTGAGAGGCGTCCAAGGTATCTATGGGGTTAGGCGAGTTGTAGAGGGGAGAGCCCTGGGGCACGGAGCCGCTGGAGTAGGCGGAGCTTGGGGACAGGGAGGGGGGGTCGCTGGGGGATGCAAGGCTGCTGGAGGAGCTGAGACCTGAAGGATAGAGAAAAATAAGAACCTGTGAGACCTGGAGAACCGAGGAGAACAAGAACCTTTGAGACCTGGAGAACTAAGGAGAACAAGAACCTGTGAAACCTGGTGAACAGTGGAGAACAAGAACCTATGAAACCTGGAAAACTGAGGAGAACAAGACCCTCTGAGCCCTGGAGAACAGAGGAGAACAAGACCCTGTGAGGCCAGGAAAACCAAGGAGAACAACAACCTGTGAAACCTGGAGAACTGAGTAGAACGACACCCTCTGAGACCTGGAGAACAGAGGAAAACAAGACCCTGTGAGGCCATTAGAACTGAGTAGAACAAGACCCTGTGAGGCCTGGAAAACATAGGAGAACAAGAACCTGTGAGACCTGGAGAACAGAGGAAAACAAGACCCTGTGAGGCCATTAGAACTGAGTAGAACAAGACCCTGTGAGGCCTGGAAAACATAGGAGAACAAGAACCTGTGAGACCTGGAGAACAGAGGAGAACAAGACCCTGTGAGGCCTGGAAAACATAGGAGAACAAGAACCTGTGAGACCTGGAGAACAGAGAAGAACAAGAACCAGGGCACATACATAAAATTCTTCTATATGTACATAATGTTTTGGAAATGACAAAAACATCAAAGTGCAATTCAGATATAAATGAGTGTGCGTCCAGGCTGATCACTCACCGGTGTCAGGGCTGGTTGACAGGGGGGAGGGGGGGAGCACTGGCAGGGGCAGCTGGGCCTGGGTGCTGCTGTGGCTCAAGTTGGGCCCTGGGTCCTGGGCAGGGTCTGTGGTCTCCCTGACCTGCGAGTGAAGCTCCTCCAGGAAGCAGGCAAGGCGGGTGTGGCCCCTCGAGCGTGCCACAGCCAGGGGCAGCCTCCCCAAGGAGTCCGGGATGCCCAGCGCCACACTGTTCCAGCGATACAGGAGGACTGCTGCCCCCTGGTGGCCAAGAGCGCAAGCCCACATCTGAGGGACAAAAGGAATATTGATTATATACAGATAAACAATCAGAAAAGGAAAGAGGTATGTCCATCCATCCATCTTAGTCAGGGTCATGGGGGAAAAACGTATGGAAACCACTAAGCTGCAGAGAAATTCGATTATCTAAAGCAACAACATGTTATTGTAGTTTGACATCTTTTTAAAACCAAAATGAGGAAATTATTTCACAACACATAATATGTATTGGGATAAACTTGCCAGTATTGCAATGAAAGCAGAGTATAGCCCTAAATACTGTTATGCTGAAAAACAGAGCATTAGCAAACACGCCAAAGCAGCAGCCTCACCAGGGGTGTGCAGGAGAAGTGGTCTACATTGAGGGGATCCACCTCCTGCTCCAGGTCCAGACTGTCTGAGTTCACACTCCTGAAGGAAGAGGAGACAAACGTAAGTACCATGCCATACAGTGTGTTTTGTTTAAGCACAAGCATCTCAGCTATGGGGTTCTGTGTCTGAATATAACCATATGTACATGACCATATGTCAGATGTATTTACCTCCAGTGTATAAGGGTGTGAATGAGCTGAGTGTCTGTATACCTCCAGTGTTTGAGAATGGGAATGAGCTGGGTGTTTATTTACCTCCAGCATATGAGGGTGTGAATGAGCTGGGTGTTTGTTTCCCGCCAGTGTATGAAGGTACGAATGAGCTGGGTGTCTGTTTACTTCCAGTGTATGAGGGTGTGAATTGAGCTGGGTGTTTATATAACTCCAGTGTATGAGCATGTGAATGAGATGGGTGTTTTTTTTACCTCCAGTGTATGAGGGTGTGAATGAGCTGGGTATATCCTTGGGCAGCAGCGAGGTGAAGCAGGGTCATCCCACGGTGTCGCACTGAATGAAGCAGCTTCTCGCTGCCCCCACCCCAGCGGCCCCCTGCCATCATCCTCTCACATACTCCCACAATCCTCTGCTCAAAACAGGACCCTGACTGATAGGGGGAATTCAGGATGTTTAGCCATTAAAGCAGACATATTTAAATATAATAAAATTATGCAAAAAAAAGTCTGAGAAGAGAAGCATGCCTTCATTGCCCTCAGAAAGTATCCACCTCCATTGATCATGCCTCGTTTTGCTGCGTTTTATTTAAAAATATATATGTGGAATTTTCTTTTTATTTAAAGCAACCCGAAAAGTTGAAAATGGAAGTGGTCTTATGTAAAATAAAAACCAGAAAATCACATGTAATAAGTAATCACCCCTTTTGTATTAACAATCTAAATTTAGCCAGGTGTTTTTCATTTTCATTAGCACACACTGTATGGACTTTATTTGGAATTCTCTTTATTCGGCCAGCCTGACTTTGTTAGGTCTCACAGCTGAAGCCGAAACATCCTTCATGCTGTCATGAGGATCACAGAACTGCCCAAGGAACTCTGGAACAAAGTCAGGAAGGGAGAAAAGCTGGAGAAGATTACATGTAAAAAAAAAACAAGATGGGGCCGTCCTACCAAAGCGGACGAGAAAGGCGACGGTGACGTGAGTGAGAGGCCAGCTACCAAACTGATGGAGAAGCAGAACCTCAGTTGCTTCAGAGTCTCACAGATCTGGCCCCTTTGGGAAAGTAGCCAATGTGGAAAAGGGCCGACTCTAAGGATGATGACCTGAAACACTATGAAGGAGAGCTTAAAAAGAAGGAGGCTGGTATTCTGGAAAAGGCTATTAAATCTGTGGTATGGCTGGTCTACTGACACTCTCCATCTATGCTGGAACAGTCTGAGCTTTTCTGTATGGAGGAATTGGGGAAAAAAATCCGAAATATAAAATTTTCAAAAGTTCATCAGGAAAATCCACAAAAACTCAGAGCTGAAATCTACACTCATTGGCCACTTTATTAGGTACACCTTGCTAGTACCAGGTTGGAACCCCTTTTGCCCTCAGAACTGCTTTAATTCTTCATGGCATAGATTCAACAAGGTGCTTGAAACATTCCTCAGACCATGTTGACATGACAGCATCACACAGTGGCTGCACCTCCATGGTCTAAGTCTGCTGCAGCACCACATCCCAAGGTGCTCTTGCTGCACCTCCATGGTCTAAGTCTGCTGAAGCACCACATCCCAAGGTGCTCTTGGGTTGAGATCTGATGACTGTGGAGGCCATTTGAGTACAGTGAGAACATTGTCATGTTCAGGAAACCAGTCTGAGATGATATGAGCTTTGTGACATGACGTGTTATCCTGCTGGAAGTAGCCATTAGAAACTGTGGCCATAACAGGATGGACATGATCAACTGCAGTACTCAGGTAGACTGGCATTTACACAAAGCTCATTTGGAACTAAGGGGCCCAAAGTGTGCCAAGAAAACATCCCCCACACCATTACATCCCCACCACCAGCCTGCATTGGATCCATGTTTCCAGGTTGTTTATGCCAAATTCTGACCCTACATCTGAATGTCGCAGCAGAAATTGAGGTTCTTCTGACCAGCCGACATTTTTCCATTCTTCCATTGTCCGATTTTGGTGACTCTGTGCTCACTGTAGCCTCAGTTTCCCATTCTTAGTTGACACAGCTGTGGCACCGGGTGTCGTCTTCTGCTGCTGTAGCCCATCTGCTTCAAGATTTGACGTGTTGTGCGTTCAGAGATGCTCTGCACGCCTTGGATGTAACGGGAGCTTATTTGAGTTACTGTTGCCTTTCCATCAGCTTGAACCGCTCTGTCCATTGTCTGATCTCTGCCATCAACAAGGCATGGACCGCTGCTCACTGTATGTTTTCTCTTTTCTACCCATTTCCTGTAGACCCTATAGATCGCTGTATGTGAAAATCTCAGATCAGCAGTTTTTGAAATACCAGTCCGTCTGGCACCAAGAGCCACGCTGCGTTCAAAGTCACTTAAACCACTTTTCTTCCCCATTCTGGTGCTTGATGTGAACATTAACTGAAGCTCCTGACCTGCATCTGCATTATTTTATACACAATGCTGCTTTAATATGATTGGCTGATTAGATATTTGCTTCAAGAAGAAGTGTACCTAATAAAGTGGCCAGTGAGTGTACGCGCTATTGACCCAGGAGGGTGACTATTTTTGCCTCTAAATCATTTAAAGACATATGAGACAATAAAATATTGTTTTATTGACTTTTCATTACAAGTGTATTGAAGTTATTGTGTTGGATAAGGACAAATCAACTCTTTCCATGCATTTATTATAGTCAGGAGGTGGTGGATACTTCCTAAACATATCATGCAGCCATCAAATAATTAACCCGACGTGGCATGAAACAACGTTATTATACAATGCTTATGGAACATCCTTCTGACTGCAGGGAAACTGCAAAGCCCCAATATTGCTGTATATTTAATGGATCATGTTACGTCTCAGTGAAAAAGCACTTGTACTGTTTTACGTTTGCACTCCAAAAACAAGGCCTAGTGTCTGTAAATTGCCCCTGGTTTGTGTCCCCTGTGATGTGCTGGCATCCTGTCCAGGGTGTCCCCTGGCCCCCGGCCCTCTGCTTCCTGGGACAGGGTCCAAGCTCACTATGACCCTGCACCAGGCAAGCGGTTGTGGATGATTGATGGATGCAAATATTCTTATCTAGCTTATGTGGTATCTCACATGTGTATTTTTGTACTGCGTTTTTCTGGCTTGTTTGTAATGTCAGATTTCACGGACGTAACGGAGTTTCACACCTGCTGAGCCAGACAACTCTACTCTGAACCTGGCATGATGCATAAGAGAGGCCCGTTTGGGCAGTACGTAACGGGAGTCCGTCTACTACAGGCGGAAAACGGCATAAAGGAAAAAAACAAAAGTGTAAACCACCCCTAAGTCTCTCTCAACAGCTGTTCTGGGCTGTGAATATCCATGACATCACCCTAGACCTGTTACCCGCTCTTATAAACCAGGCTAAACGATTTCACCGAAGGGCACCGGAATAAATCACATCATAATGTCATTCACAGATCTGACAGTATGAAGCGGCCTTAACGTTAAAGTTCATGCAGACGCTGTGACAGTCTTTAACTCCAGTCGCTGCCAGTGTCTGCCTGTAAGCTCATGACGGGACAATTAAGCGCTATTTTAAGGCCGATCCCTGTCCGCGCGGCACTTTCTCTAGACCCCTTATCTCTATCCTCCCTTTTTCCGCCCTCCTGTCGTTCTCCGCTTTCACTCCTGCGCTCGGAGTCCCGCTCGCTTTTCCATTGAGGGTCACCTGATAGGAAACATTAAATCCGTGCCTGTCGCTCTCTC